TGAGATGGATAAACTTACCAAGGAGATCCAAGGAAAAGAAGAATCTGAATATTATCTGGTCTGGCAAAAATAGTATTAATGGTTAGAGGGAAGTGGGGAAAAAAAGAGAAGAAGAAAGAAAGAAAAATTAAATAAAAGAAAAGATATCAATAGAGTAAAATAAATTTTTACATCAAATGAAATTTAAGAAAGAGACAAAAGATATCAATAAAATAATATCATTATATAAGGTGAGAGAAATATTGTATATTGAAGAATATAGGATATTGATATTGTAACAATTCAGATATTATAGGTAGATGTTATAAAGATGATGTTTGTTGTAAATTGTTTTATTTGCATTTATAAATGTATTATGTGGTTTCTTAAATTAATAAAAATTTTAAAATTTTTTTTTAAAAAAGATAGTAACATAAAACCTCATTTTTTTTTATTTTCACATCATGATATATACTAGCCATTTCTATAACAGCAGAACCTATCTAATCAGCAAAACCCCAAATCATAGTTTTCTTTTGCTTTTCCCACCTCAAGCACAAAGTCCAAAAGTGGTTTCCAAGCAGAAACAAAAGTAATTGTCTTCTTTTCTTTAATCAAAGCGGTCAATTTTGCCCTCTCTGCTAAGTCCATCAACTTTTGCAGCCATTCATCCATTGTGCGATTCAAAATATCCTTCCATTTTGGGGGAGGGTTTGAGTCCTGAAGTGCCTGCATATCCCAGAGGAAGGAATAAAAGAGCAAATAAATAATGAGATCATACAGGTAGTCCTTGAGCCCAACGTTTCTGTCATTAAATGAAACATTTACTAAGTGAGATTTTTTGCCCCATTTTACGATCATTCTTGCCGCCATTGTTAAGTGAATCATTGCAGTTGATCCATTAGTAACACAGTTTTTACGTGAACCTGTCTTCCCCCTTGATTTTGCTTGTCAAAAGGTTGCAGAGGAGGATCACACGACCTTGGGACACAGCGACGGTCATAAGTATGAACCAGCTGCCCAGGATTCAAATTTTGATCACAGGATCATAGGGATGCCTCAAAGGTTGTAAGTTTGAAAAATGGTTGCCTTGTTCAGTGCCATTGTAACTTTGAACGGTCACTAAATGAGCTTTTGTAAGTTGAGGACTCAAATTTGCAGAAGGTGTCAGGCGTCGTTTCATCCCATGTAAAGGAAGGTTCCGTTTCTGTTCTCTTAGGATAGAGGTGGGGAAATGATGGCCCCCTTCATAACTTGCGGACTTCAACTTCCAGAATTCCTGAACCAAAATGGCTGGCCTAGAATAGAATAGAATAGAATAGAATAGAATAGAATAGAATAGAATAGAATTTTTTATTGGCCAAGTGTAATTGGACACACAAGGAATTTGCCTTTGGTGCATAGGCTCTCAGTGTACATAAAAGAAAAGATACGTTCAATAATAATTACCGTAAACAAGTATCCGAAAGGTGCTTTTTCAGGATGCAATTGGGCTTCCTTGTTTTTTTTCTTTTGAAGATGTTTCGCTTCTCATCCAAGAAGCATCTTCAGCTCTGACAGGATAGCAGGGAATCCTCTGACAAGATCCTGTCAGAGCTGAAGAAGCTTCTTGGATGAGAAGCGAAACGTCTTCAAAAGAAAAAAAAACAAGAAAGTCCAGTTGCCTCCTGAAAAAAGCACCTTTGGGATAACCATGACCTGAATGACCGAGAATCTCTACAATTAAATAAGTAGTACATGAATCCAACTTAAACACTTTACTTAGTGATAGAATTCATGACGAATTCCACTGAAATTAGAGGTAGTCCTTGATTTACAACAGTTTGTTTAGTGACCATTCGAAGTTACCACGACGCCCAAAAAAGCGGCTTGCAACCAGTTTTCACACTTAAGACCATTGTCGCATCTCCACGGCCACATGATTTAACTTCGGATGCTTGACAACTGACTCACATTTATGACAGTTGCAGTGTCTCAGAGTTATGTGATCTGCTTTTGGGACCTCCTGACCAGCAAAGTCAACGAGGAGATCAGATTCACTTAACAACCGTGTTACTAATTTAACAACTGCAGCAATCCACTTAACAAGCGTGACAAGAGAAGACATAAACTCACTTAACAACATAACCTTTGGGTATACCTGTAGTATGCCTCGATGGGTTGGCCAAAATATTACCCAGAGAGACTAATTTAGGGGAAATAGATTAGGAAAAGATGAATGAAGGACAGTGGTAACTTGAACATTATTAGCAAACGCCTTTGGGAAAGCTTTTATCAGATTTAACATTCGAACGATTTCATCTGCAAAAAAGAAGTATCTTGAGGCAGGGAACTAATAAGATCGTGAGAGTTTCCTCCTGTAAAAGGGCAATGAACAGTAAGCAAACAAGAGAATCCCAAACGCATTTGAAAGGGAGAACTGACACTCAAAGATAGGCAAGGATAAGCAAATCCTATTCCAAGGGAAACCATTCAAATACAATTCTTTATTGGCCAGGTGTGATTGGACACACAAGGAATTTGCCTTTGGTGCATAGGCTCTCGCTGTACATAAAAAGACAAGATACATTCGTTAAGAATCATAAGGTATAACACTTAATGATAGTCATAGGGTGCAAATAAGCAATCAAATCAGTGGTGAAATGTAAAATTTGTTACTACCGGTTCTGTGGGCGTGGCTTGGGGGGGCGGTTTAATGTGACTGGGTGGGTGTGGCCAACTTTTTTTAAAAAAAACTTTTAAAAGCATTTTTTCTACAACCTCTTCGGCCGAAGAGGTTGTAAAAAAAATGCTTTTAAAATCCTCTGACGATCCCAGCTGAGTTGCCTGATCATCAGAGGCTTTTTTTTTTACTTTTAAAAAAAAATTGGCATTTTTTTGGCCAAAGAGGTTATTTAAAAAATGCTTTTAAAAGCCTCTGATGATCCCAGCTGAGTTGCCTGATCGTCAGAGGCTTTTTTTAAATTTTTAAAACCATTTTTTTGGCCAAAGAGGTTGTAGAAAAAATGCTTTTAAAAATTAAAAATAAAAACCTCTGATGATTGCGCGGCTCAGCTGGGCATGGGGGGGGGAGGGGCAGGGATTTTTGCTACCGGTTCTCCGAACCATTCACCGCCACCTCTACCGGATCAGGCGATCTGGTTTGAATTGGGAGCATTTCACCCCTGATACATTCGTTAAGGATCATAAGGTACAACACTTAATGATAGTCATAGGGTACAAATAAGCAATCAAATCTTATTAGGGGACAGTCAATATAAATCGTAAGGATACCAGCACCAAGTTACAGTCATACAGTCCTAAGTGGGAGGAGATGGGTGATGGGAACAATGAGAAGATTAATAATAATGCAGACTTAGTGAATAGTTTGATAGTGTTGAGGGAATTAGTTGTTTAGCAGAGTGATGGCCTTCGGGGGAAAAAAAACTTTCCTTGTGTCTAGTTGTTCTGGTGTGCAGTGCTCTATACATTTTGAGGGTAGGAATTGAAACAATTTATGTCCAGGATGTGAGGGGCTTGTAAATATTTTCACCGCCCTCTTTTTGACTCATGCAGTGTACAGGTCCTCCATGGAAGGCAGGTTGGTAATATAAGCTACTGACCTTGGTTGATGCCCCATCTTTGTTCCATTGCAGTGTTTCCCAAACTTGACCCTTTGAAGATGTATGGACTTCAACTCCCAGAATTCCTCAACCAGGCATACTGGCTGGGGAATTCTGGGAGTTGAAGTCCATGCATCTTAAAATAACCAAGTTTGGGAAACACTGTCCCATTGTATCAACCAAGGGTTTGGTGACTCTACTTGGCTCTTAATCACACACATCTTTCAGTTACTCCTTGGCTCTACAGGTAGTCCTTGACTTTAGTGTTCGTTTAGTAACCATTCCAAGTTACAACAGCTCTGGAAAACCTATCACTGTGCTTCACACTTAAGACCATTGCAGCATCCTTAGGGTTGCATGATCAAAATTCAGATGCTTGGCAACTGGTACATATTTATGACAGTGTCCTGGGGTCATAGGATCACTTTTTGCAATTTTCTGACAAGCCAAGTAGAGGAGGAAGCCAGATTCACTTAACAACCATGTTACTGACTTATCAACTGCAACTGAGGCAAGTAAGGTCACAAAATGGAGCAAAAGTCACTTAACAAATGTTTTGCTTAGCAACAAAAAATTTAAGATGAATTGTGGTCGTAAGTTACATGGAGTCAGATGCCCTGATAATCAAATGTCTTGGAATCAAGATGTTGGGTCAAGATTGATGGGGTTCCCTTGATGTCTTCTTGATCGCTAACGCACCTGAGCCCTATCAATATGAAAGCCATTAACATTGCAGGATTCAATCTGAGTCAGTCGCTGGGACCAAAGGTTTATTCTTCCAAGATTTCAGGTTCTTGCTGGAGCCCACTCTTCCCAAAATTTTGCTTCCCAAAAGCTTGGTAAAATAAATGTTTGGTCTCGATGATTGACTCAAATTGGATCCTTCAGCATTATCCTGGGACACATATATCTCCTTTCATTCACCATTAACATTAAATCTGAGCCCACCGGGTGCTCCAGAGGTACTTCCTAACATAAAATTTAGATTAGATTAGATTAGATTAGATTACCAGAGTTGGAAGGGACCTTGAAGGTCATCGAGTCTAACCTCCCACCCAAGCAGGAGACCCTACACCATTTCTGACAAATGGCAGTCCAATCACTTCTTGAAAGCCTCCAATGTTGAAGCTCCCACAACTTCCGAAGGCAAGCTGTTCCATTAGTTGATAGTTCTCACTGTCAGAAAATTTCTCCTTATTTCCAGGTTGACTCTCTCCTTGTTCAGGTGCCTTGGAAAATAGCTTGACCCCTTCCTCTCTGTGACAGCCCCTCAGATATTGGAACACTTCTATCATGTCTCCCCTAGTCCTTCTCTTCACCAGACTAGCCATGTCCAGTTCCTGCAACTGTTCTTCATATGTTTTAGCCTCCAGTCCCCTAATCATCTTGGTTGCTCTTCTCTGCACTTTTTCTAGAGTCTCAACTTCTTCATCAGTTTGAAAATAAGGCATGCAGGTGAGGCTCATTGCTTGGATAGGAAAATGAAGACATTGTTTAATGTGTTGAGCCAGTTGTAGCCTCCTTCTGCCTGAGGAAAGAGTACAGGTAAGATAGTTAACCCATGGGGAATAATCTGTGCCTCCTGCCTTCACACCTCATGATAATGACGGTGATGGTAGTGATGTGAAGAGTAAATGGAGTGGAGCCAGAGAGCAGCTGTGTTCTGGTAAATTCCAGCTGTTAAGGGAGTCCTGTGAAAACAGCCACAGTGGGGTTCTGAATTGGGTTGTGTGCTGAATGGGTCCCAAGTGAAATCATGGCTGTGCATATGGCAGGAAGTCATATATGCCCTCTGCCCTCGCTTCTGGCACATTAGAAGCTACTGGCACTTGATATGCTCACCCTGTCCGTGATCGCTCAAAGAAAACTTACAAACATTAATGTTGGAAGGAGGTATCCATATTTAGGATAGATAGATAGATAGATAGATAGATAGATAGATAGATAGATAGATAGATAGATAGATAGACAGACAGACAGACAGACAGACAGACAGACAGACAGACAGACATAGATGGGATAGATAGATAGATAGATAGATAGATAGATAGATAGATAGATAGACAGACAGACAGACAGACAGACATAGATGGGATAGATAGATAGATAGATAGATAGATAGATAGATAGATAGATAGATAGAGACATAGATAGATAGATAGATAGATAGATAGATAGATAGATAGATAGATAGATAGATAGATAGATAGATAGACAGACAGATATAGATGGGATAGATAGATAGAGACATAGATAGATAGATAGATAGATAGATAGATAGATAGATAGATAGAGACATAGATAGATAGATAGATAGATATAGATATGCGTAGGCGTATATATATCTATATTGGGTGTAGTTATATGTATGTGTGTAGATAAATATATAAGACGCTGAGCTTGTCAATCGAAAGGTAGGCAGTTCAGCAGTTCAAAACCCTAGTGCCACGTAACAGGGTGACCTCCCGTTACTTGTCCCAGCTTCTGCCAACCTAGCAATTCAAAAGCATGTAAAACTGCAAGTAGAAAAATAGGGACCACCTTTGGTGGGAAGGTAACAGCATTCCATGTTCCTTTGGCGTTTAGTCATGTTGGCCACATGACCATGGAGACATCTTTGGACAGCGCTGGCTCTTCGGCTTTGAAACGGAGATGAGCACCACCCCCTAGAGTCGGGAACGACTAGCACATATGTGCAAGGGGAACCTTTACCTTTACCTTATATAGCACGTATATATGTGTGTTACATATGTGTATACTTTTTAGAGCAGGCAACAGAATTTCATTTTTAATGTGTGCCAGTGTGCCCACAGTAAAAAATGACAATATAGGTTATCTTTAATCAAGTGTTGGAAATCTACCTTCTCCCACCTCTGAGAGGACAAGGAAACATCTTTCTACTGAAAGTTTTGGGGAGAAATAAGAAAGGATCATTCATGGTAAACCCCAAAGAAGAGGGAGTCAACCTATTCTCCAAAGCACCTGAGGACAGGACAAGAAGCAACGGATGGAAACTGATCAAGGAGAGAAGCAACGTAGAACTAAGGAGAAATTTCCTGAAAGTGAGAACAATTAACCGGTGGAACGGCTTGCTTTCAGAAGTTGTGGGGTGCTCCAACACCCCATAACTTCTTAAGAAGAGATTGGACAACCATTTGTCTGAAGTGGTATAGATTTTCCTGCCTGAGCAGGGGGTTCGACTAGAAGACTTCTAAAGACCCTACTAACTGTTATTCTGTTAGCTCAGACTTGGAAGCAGACCAGGTAAAGAATTCCGGAAATACTTCCTCTGCTTTGCAGATACTTTCAATCACTGCCGATATTTTTGAAGAGAAAATGTGGGATTGGCTTGGCCAACCTGTTGCCCTGGTGATGCTCGCTTGCATGGCTGGAGGCACATTCGGAAAGATTTCCAGTCTCTGGAGGGCTCTAGTTCAGTGGTCAGGCACACGCTTTGCATTCAAGAGGAGATGGGAGTCGATCAGGGCATTTTGAGCTAGGAAGAATTAAGTGGGAGGAGCTTGAAAAGATTGCAAAGATGCTGCCGGTCGATCTTGCACGTTTAGGAGTTGATGGGAAAGATTCCTAGACTTTAGCACAGGTTACTTTCCCTTCCCTCAGACATCCCCCTCCCCAATAAAATGAAGGTTAATCGATTTCAAAGGACAGCAAGTTGTCAAGCCATAAGCCTTGTACATACCTTTGGTGCGAAAACAGAAATTATTTTCACTATCTCAGTGCTTGCTGTTGCCAAGTCAAAGGTTCCCATCCTGTACATAAATTACTGGAGAGGTTACTCTGAGAAGCACTGAGGGATTTTTCCCCCAAAGTAGACCCAAGTGGTCTAAGCTTCCACAGATAACAAGAAATATCTACAGGTAGTCCTTGACTTATGACCGCCATTGAGCTCATAACTTATGTTGCTAAGTGAGACATTTGTTAAGTGAGTTTTTAATGACTCATTTTATGACTTTTCTTGCCACATCTGTTAAGGGAATCGTTGCGGTTGTTAAATTAATCACAAAGTTGTTAAATGAATCTGGTTTCCCCATTGACTCTGCTTGTCAGAGGATCGCAAAAGATGAGGAGATGAGGAGAGGAGAGGAGAAGGGAGAGGAGAGGAGAGGAGAGGAGAGGAGAGGAGAGGAGAGGAGAGGAGAGAGAGAAGAGAAGAGAAGAGAAGAGAAGAGAAGAGAAGAGAAGAGAAGAGAAGAGAAGAGAAGAGAAGAGAAGAGAGGAGGAAGAGGAAGAGGAAATGGAAGAGGAAGAGGAAGAGAAGAGAAAGAAGAAGAGAGAAGAGAGAGAAGATGAGAATTGAAGTGAAGAGAAAGAAGGAGAGAGGAGGAGAGGAGAAAGAGAGAGAAGAGAGAGAAGAGAAGAGGAAAGGACAGGAGAGGAGAGGAGAGGAGAGGAGAAGAGAAGAGAAGAGAAGAGAAGAGAAGAGAAGAGAAGAGAAGAGAAGAGATAACTTTTATTGTTATTTTTTACTATGAGAATACTGGTCCACATTAAAAATAAAATTTGGTTGCCTGCTCTCAAAAGAAAGTATATATCAACCCATACACATACATAACACACATCTACACATGCTATATACTGGGAAAAAGAGAAAGGGACAGTGTGAGAGAGATACATCCACACACCTACACAAATATTAATCACTGTCCATTCTGAATACATAGCGGAAAGAGAAAACTTGAGAGTTCACAAGGTTGTTACCATATGGAACGAAACTGACTGAATCTATGATGATCCCATGACCCTGGAATGCTGTGACCGTCATCAATACAAACCAATTGTCAAGCCTCCGAATGTAAATCGCGTGACTATGGGGATGCGGCAATGGTCATAAGTGACAAAAACCGCCGTAAGTCACAGTTTTTTCCTGTGCCGTTGTAACTCCCAGTGGTCACTAAATGTCCTGTTGTGAGTTGAGAGCTACCTGTATCTTTCACAGGTTGGTTTGAATCAGTGGTGAAATGTAAAATTTGTTACTACCAGTTATGTGGGTGTGGTTTGGGGGGTAATATGACTTAGTGGACGTGGCCAACTTTTTTTTTTTTACTTTTAAAACCATTTTTTCTACAACCTCTTCGGCAGAGGCTTTCTTTTTTTTTTAAAGCCTCTGACGATCCCAGCTGACTTGCCTGATCGGCAGAGGCTTTTTTTCCTTTTAAAAACATTTTTTTCTATAACCTCTTTGGCCGAAGAGGTTGTAGAAAAAATGCTTTTAAAAGCCTCTGACGATCCCAGCTGAGCCGCGTGATCATCAGATGCTTTTTTTTTACTTTTAAAAGCATTTTTTTCAGCCAGAGGTTGTAATAAAAATGCTTTTAAAAATATATAAAAAAGCCTCTGATGATTGCATGGCTCAGCTGGGCAAAAGGGGGAGGGCAGGGATTTTTGCTACCGGTTTTCCAAACCACCCGCCTCCATCGCTACCGGATCGGGTGATCCGGTCCGAACCGGAAGCATTTCATCCCTGATTTGAATTGAATTTCCATATGGCTCTTCGGCCTGAGCTGCTGAGGTTCTATCCTCAACGCTTTGCAACTCCATTTTTTGGGGGGGCCAAACTAAAGAAAGGGAGATAACAAAACAGCAGTGATGCAAAAGTGCCCTGTGTGTATTTTGCCTGTCAGAAGCAAAATAGGGCAATTACTGAACTGTGCAAAGTCCGCTGCAGAACAGAGTGTCACTTTTAACTTAACAAAACAAACACAGATGGAACCAAACATCGATGGGGGTGGTGGGGCAGGGAGTTCAATATCCAAAGATGTCAACATAAAAGCACTTTCCAGTTTCCCCTTTTAGGTATGAAACGTGATTCCATTTTGGAAACTCAGTAGCTAGTACAGTGATGGCAAACCTTTTTTCCTTTTTTCCAAAAGCATATGTGCGCGTGACAACACGCGCATGTGTGCCGACACCCATAATGCAATGCCCCCCTGAAGGCCCCGCCCCCAGCACATGTGCGCGTGACCCCCCTACTCTCCCCCTACCCCCCCATGCCTGTGCGCACAACCCCCATTTTTATATTAGCAGTCCTCCCTGAAGCCTCCTAGGACCAAAAACGGGGTGTTGGATGCAGGGCACCTCCATTTAGGTGCTAGCAGGCCTCCATGAAGCCTCCTGGGATCAAAAACGGGACACGGCGGCACCGCTCACCCCCACCCCCCACTCATATGCGCACATCTCCCGGCAGAGACCTGAAAATCAGCTGGCTGGCGGGAGGCACGTGGGTGTACGCAGTGGAGCTGACCTGGGCGTCAGCTCGCGTGCCCGCAGAGAAAAAATGATTTTAAAAGTTAAAAAAAAGCCCTTATGATCCCGCGGCTCAGCTGGGATCATCAGAGGCTTTTCAAAGCATTGTTTTCTGCAACCTCTTCAGCTGAAGAAGTGGTTAAAAAAATGGTTTGAAAAGCCTCTGACGATCCCAGCTGAGTTGCCTGATCGACAGAGGCTTTTCAAAGCATTGTTTTCTGCAACCTCTTAAGGTTGTAGAAAAAATGCTTTTAAAAGTTAAAAAAAAAAAATGGCCACGCCCACCCAGTTACATTACCCCCCACCAAGCCACACCCACAAAATAAGCCACGGCCACAGAAGCGATAGTAAAAAAAATTAGAACCCACCCCAGCCCTATATCTGAGATGGCAAACTTCTGGGTGCGATGGTCTTCCGGGTGCGATTCAAGGTGTTGGTTACCACCTTTAAAGCACTCCATGGCATTGGACCTGGGTACCTTCGAGACCGTCTTCTGCCACCAGTAGCCTCCCATTGGCCAGTCTGCTCCCACAGAGAGGGTCTCCTCAGGGTGCCATCGGCCAAATTATGTTGGCTGGCGACACCCAGGGGGAGGGCCTTCTCTGTGGGAGCCCCTGCCCTTTGGAATGAACTGCCCCCAGAAATGCGTAAGATCTCCGATCTCCGTGTATTTCGCTGTGCCCTCAAAACCTTGTTGTTCCGCCAGGCTGGGCTATCAATGTAAAGATTTTAAATTGGTTTTTAAATATGGGATTTTAAATTTGGGGTTTTTATAATTGAGTCTATCATTTAATAATTTTAATTATTTTTAAATTTTGTCTGTCTTTGTGCTTTTAATCAGGCTGTACATCGCCCTGAGTCCTTCGGGAGAAGGGCGGTATAGAAATAAAATTAATAAATAATAAATAAATAATAATAAACTTATGGCACATGTGCCAGAGGTGGCACGCAGCGCCCTCTCTGATGGCACGCGAGCTGTCACCCCAGTTCAGCTCCACCATGTGTGCATAAGCCTCCCACCGGCCAGCTGGTCGTCGGGTCTCTGCCGCACATGCGTTGGGATGGGATGCAAGTGTGGGGGGTGGGACACATGCGGGGGCTGTGCACACATTCACAGGGGGTTGTGAGGGGGCATGCATGCGTGGGGGTGCGGGGTGCATGTGGGGGTCCGCACACACATTGCATTTTGGGGGTGCGTACACACACACATTCACACGCGCACAGGTGTTTTGGGCACTCAGTCCGGAAAAGGTTAGCCATCAATGCCCTATATCATATATTTGAGAAATCAGCATATGGTCTTCTGGGGGTTTCTTTTATTTACATTTTTCTTCCCAGCTCTTCTGTCTGAAAATACATAGACAGACCGTGTCTATTTCAGGCCTTGTCCTTCTGAATTACATGCCAATGGTTCAATCTGCAAAAAAAAAAAAAAAAAACCCTGGAAGGTACTCAGTGTTCACAAGCTGTATAGTAGCCTATAGAACCTGCTTTTTTCCCTCTATAGTTGAACCAGCAGGTAACACTGGGGAGACCCAATGAAAGATGACTGAGAATTTCCTGTCCCGATTAATATATATTTTCTTGTTTGTTAAAAACATTATTTATAATTCAAGAAGTTATAGGATGATTGCTCATTCTGTTCACAATAGAGAAATGTGTGTTTTATAATATTATCTCTGCCTAGATATAGATGGTGATAGAGATATAAACATAATAGATATGGATACATAGAAATAATAGAGATAGATAGATAGATAGATAGATAGATAGATAGATAGATAGATAGATAGATAGATATAGATATAGATATAATAGATAGATATAAATAATAAATAGAGATTTATAGACAAAGATATAATAGAGATAGAGATAGTAGAGATATCAATGATAGAGAGAGAGAGAGAGAGAGAGAGAGAGAGAGAGAGAAAGGCAGAGACAGAGACAGACAGAGAGAGACAGAGAGAGAGGGAGAGACAGACACACACAGAGAGAGAGAGAAGAGACAGAGACACACACAGAGAGAGACAGAGACCGAGAGAGAGACAGACAGAGAGAGAGAGACAGAGAGAGAGACAGAGACAGAGACACACACAGAGAGAGACAGAGACAGAGAGAGAGACAGACAAAGAGAGAGACAGAGAGAGAGACAGAGACAGAGACACACACAGAGAGAGACAGAGACAGAGAGAGAGACAGACAAAGAGAGAGACAGAGAGAGAGACAGAGACAGAGACACACACAGAGAGAGACAGAGACCGAGAGAGAGACAGACAAAGAGAGAGACAGAGAGAGAGACAGAGACAGAGACACACACAGAGAGAGACAGAGACCGAGAGAGAGACAGACAAAGAGAGAGACAGAGAGAGAGACAGAGACAGAGACAACACACAGAGAGAGACAGAGACAGAGAGAGAGACAGACAAAGAGAGAGACAGAGACAGAGACAGAGACAGAGACACACACACACACACACAGAGAGAGAGAGAGAAGAGAGAGAGAGAGAGAGAGAGAGAGAGAGAGAGAGAGAGAGAGAGAATCCTAAGGAGCTAATGATTTGGGATAGCAAAGTAGAAATGACAAAAGGAAGACATGGAAATGTCATGTCCACATCCCAGATTCAGAAAAGAAACACACAAAGCAAAATTCAGTGCAATGGAATGCTGGTCGATATATACGTTACACCCAATTTTGAGCACAGCGCATGATTAGCCTCAAAACGTTCTATGTTTGAAACCACAACTTGCTCATTGGCAGATATTACAGAAATGCGTCCAACAGTTTCGCCTCAGTGTTGATCCCCAGAGAAAGCTGCCATGAAATCGGCTGAAAGGGAGAAGAAACAGATTCCACTGTGATCTCAGAAAGCCAGAGAGGCCAATGGAAAAATCCCCAGCCCAAAAATAATTGAATCTGGGCTTGGCTTTCCCTTCATCTGACCGGCCAAACTAACACGTTTTGCCTCCTTTTCCAGTCTTCCTCTTAGTGTTAAGGGGTTTTTTTTGAGGGGGGGGGTGGTGGTTGTTGTCTCAGATCTATTCAGGTATGGATATCAGTCTCATCGGCTTTTGGGCTGAAGGAATTAACTTTAACACTATATGTTTTTTTGATATACATGCAAGGAGCAGACGGGTATGTAGCAGGCAAAGAAGACGAAGGGGAAGACGTAACAGATATGGAACACCAATACGATTCACTACAAACTTCATTTCTGTACTTGCAAATCAGCATTGCCTTTGGTTGTTGAAACTGCTCACTTTCCTTTTTAAGAATTATAAGGAAGTAACATTTCATCATTTTCTGATCCGCAGAAACAATATTGGGCATGGATTGGGAAGGGAAGCAGTGGTGGGTTTCACATATACTTACCACCAGATCATTGTGTACTTGTGCGCCTTCCACACATGCTACGAAAACATGGCTAAATAGGACGGCATTACACCCGGGCGTCTGAGTGGGCTCACCTGCAGTCACCAGTTGCCGCTACCGGTTTACTCGAACTGGTCCGAACCAGCTGAATACCACCTCTGAAGGGAAGGGAAGGGAAGGGAAGGTGTGAGGGAGGGACGGAGGAAGGAAGGAAGGAGGGAGGGAGGGACAGAGGAAGGAAGGAGGGAGAAAGGGAGGGAAGGAAGGGGGGGGGGGGGGGGGGACGGACGGACGGACAGAGGAAGAAAGGAAGGAAGAAGGGAGGAAGGGAGGGAGGGACAGAGGAAGGAAGGAAGGGGGGAGGGACGGAGGGACGGAGGGACGGAGGGAGGAAGGAGGGAGGGACGGAGGAAGGAAGGAAGGAAGGAGGGACGGAGGGAGGGATGGAGGGACAGAGAGAGGAATGGGGGAAGGAAGGAAGGAAGGAGGGAGGGAGGGACCGAGGGACCGAGGGATGGAGGAAGGAAGGAGGGAAGGAAGGAAGGCAGGAAGGAGGGAGGGAGGGAAGGAAGGAAGGAGGGAGGGATGGAGGGAGGGACAGAGGGAGGGATGGAGGGACGGAGAGAGGAAGGGGGGAAGGAAGGAAGGAGGGAGGGAGGGAAGGAAGGGAGGAAGGAGGGACCGAGGGACCGAGGGACGGAGGAAGGAAGGAGGGAAGGAAGGAAGGATGGAGGGAGGGAAGGAAGGAAGGAAGGAGGGAGGGATGGAGGAGGGAATGAAGGAAGGAGGGAGGGAGGGAGGGAGGGAGGGAAGGAAGGAAGGAAGGAAGGAAGGAAGGAAGGAAGGAAGGAAGGAAGGAAGGAAGGAAGGAAGGAAGGGATGTGATATGACTCCGAAGAGGAAAGCTTGGCCCTATTGGTCATTTTTGTTTCTTTTTCTAATTGTTATTTTGTACTCGGTTCGTTTTGTCAACTTGTTGTAAAGGTGGTGGCCAATTAAAAATAAAATTCATTGGGGCTAATCTGAGCTTTAACAAAAGACCTCCACAGAGCAGAAAGATGACGTTTAGCCTTTCATTAACCACCCTCACGCATTAATAATAATTTTTGCAGAAGCTGCCAAAGAGAAAAGAAACGAAAACTGGCTCGTATGTTTAGTTAAGTAGATTCCTAGCTTTAAAAACCAACCAAAGCAAACCAAATTCTCATCCATGCATACGTGGGAGAATCTGATTCCAAGAAAAAGACTGGAGTCCCTTAGCAATTCTGCCAAGCTAGATGCAGCCCAAAAAAGAGGCAAGAAGATAACAGAATAGCAGAATAAGTGCGTTGGAAGGGACTTTAGAGCAGTGGTGAAATGTAAAATTTGTTACTACCGGTTCTGTGGGCGTGGCTTGGTGGGAGGGAGTAATGTGACTGGGTGGGCATGGCCAACTTTTTTTAAAAAAAATTTTTTAAAGTATTTTTCTACAATCTCTTCGGCTGAAGAGGTTGTAAAAGAAGTGCTTTTAAAAGGCTCTGATTTACTTTTAAAAGAAAAAAAAAAGCCTCTGACAATCAGTCAACTCGGCGGAAGAGGTTTCTAGAAAAAATGCTTTTAAAAGGCTCTGACGATCCCAGCTGAGCTGCGCGATCATCAGAGGCTTTTTTTTTAAAATTTTAAAAGCATTTTTTCGGCCAAAGAGGTTGTAGAAAAAATGCTTTTGAAAGTAAAAAAAAAAAAAAAACAGCCTCTGATGATCACGCGGCTCCGCTGGGCATGGGGGCGGCAGGGATTTTTGCTACCGGTTCTCCGAATCACCTGCCACCATCACTACCGGATCGGGCGATCCGGTCCGAACCACGAGCATTTCACCCCTGCCTTAGAGGTCTCCTAGTCCAACCCCTTGCTCAAGCAGGAAACCCTATAACAGTGATGGCTAAAACTTTTCTGGACTGAATGCCCAAAGCGTGCGCCTGAACCCCCAAAATGCAATGTGCATGCAGCCCTGTGTATCCATCCTGCCCCCATGCATGTGTGCATGCCCCCACGTGCATGCATGCATGCCCACCCCGCACAGGCCCCACCCCCACATGCATGCACACATGGGCGGCAGAGACCTGAAGACCAGCTGGCTGGTGGGGGGGGCACAAATGCAGGTGTGGCGGAGCTGAACTGGGGCAACGGCTTGCGTGTCCACAGAGAGGGCACTGCGTGCCACCTCTGGTACGTGTGCCATAGATTCACCATCACTGCCCTATAACATTTCGGATAAATGGTTGTCCAATCTCTTCTTAAAAACCTCCAGTGTTGGAGCACCCACAGCTTCTGGAGGCAAGTCGTTCCACTGGTTAATTGTTCTCACTGTCAGGAAATAAAATCAGCAGCTCACTTCCCTTCGTCTCATAAGAAAGATACTTAGTCAAAACTTTTTTTTTCCTTCAAAAACTTTTTAGCTCTAACTTCTAAGTTATCGCTGTGGCTTCACACCATCCACCAGTTGAGGATACACTAATTGACTCTGGTTACTGCTAATTATATTATTGCTGACTTGGTGCTTGGGATTGTGCATGGTTGTATGATTTGTTTTATTGTCCGTTATTGATTTTGTTTAATTATGTATTTTATTATCTGGAAGTTATTATCGGCTGTCAGGTCTTCTTGTGCACAAAGAAAGGGAGAAATGAAGCAAATGTTTTGCCACACTCATTGGAAGCACTAATCAGGCAAAGAACAAAGATTAATAAAGGAACTCCAATCAGAAATTGTATGTGAATTCACAGAAAAAAGGGTAAAGTCCCTTATCTTTTCATAGTCGATAAACTAGAAAGCAAGACTGGAAGGTTTTGTTGTGATCCAGGCCCAAGTAGTTAGTATTAAATACAAACAGTTTGAAAACAAACAGACTTTATTAGAACAGCTGAGAATTAACTCATTCTCAGCGTAGTCCAAACTAAATTAAAGTAAATTCTTCAAAACACCATTCCTCAGTTTATCACTGACCTTGGGATAATTAGGCAAACTGCCAAAGGCTTTTCATGGGAAAAGTTCAGAAGCAGAAGACGCCGACAAGAAATGAATATAGTGAAACAAGAAGCAAATCTCTCAACGTTGTTTTCCGGCAAAGAGGCCAAGAGCCATTGCTGGTCTTTTAAGCCTTATGGGAGGGCCAATCATCTCTTGGTCCTACTCCTGAGTCGTTCTTTTTGCTTTAGCTGCTCTTGCCTTCTGGCAGCTCTTCTCATACATGCACTAGGAACAGGCTCCTCCTGTTCCTTTGCCTCTCTACTGTCAGCCTCTGGAGGCTCTGAAGTCCGCCCAATGGTCCTGGCTCCATCTCTGCCTCTGACACAGAGCCCTCATCTGGGCCTTCCCCAGCCTCCAGGACTGGCCCATGTTCTTCCTCAGCCTCCTCACTGTCCGACTCCACTGCCAGCTCCGCAGGCTGCGGGAGGACGACAACAGATGCAACATAAAGAAATATACTTAATAATAACAATAACAATAACAACAATAATAACAATAACAACAACAACATTCAGTGTTCTGTACCCTTTTAAATATTCTTACAACTGATTAAGTTATATATATTTCATTAGAAATGACAAAAAAGAACTGCAACTCCTTCTGTCCAGGCCACTTTTTAGAGGCAGGATTGAGCACATTTTAACAAACCGCATCCCTGTTTGGTTTGGTGGCAGCAATGCCTCAGATAGAAAGTCCATACAGAGAGTAGTAAGGACAGCCAAGAAGATTATAGGAAGCTCACCTCCTGGTATTCAGGATGCTGCTTATAAGTGCTATGTGCTTAGAGCTCGAAGCATTGTTAGAGACCCCATAACACCCACTTTACGGTCTGTTTCTGTTGCTCCCTCCTTGGAGGAGGTTTCGAAGTATTTCTGGCAGGACATCCAGATTCTGTAACAGCTTTGCTCCCGATGCCATCCGTCTGGTAAACTACACAAGATTCATTTTTCTCGCCATGTACATCTATACATCCGAACTAGACTGTGTTGTTTCTCCATGTCATATAATATATGTGGGTACATGCATATCTATCTATCTATTGATCGATTCTATTCTATTCTATTCTATTCTATTCTATTCTATTCTATTCTATTCCATTCCATTCCATTCCATTCCCTTCCCTTCCATTCTATTCTATTCTATTCGAATGCATAAAGCTGTACTGATGCAAGGAAGAAACGGAAAGGAAGGGAAAAAGATACAAGTTGCCATGATATAAGCACAGCACATGGCAGGTAAGAGCCCATATCTTGTCCTGAGTTTTTTTTTTTTTCCAAGACAGTGGAAGTTGCTATTCATGATATATACAAATGCCCACTTGCATTAAAAAAAAATATATATACGTTCAGGAATGAAGCAGAGAAAAATATCTTCATCATCATTATCAAACACTTGTCAGGTATGCTTAAGTGAAATGAATGTTATCTGTTGCTCTTGGTAACCCAGTTAACTATGAACCTTTTTCTTCAGATGAAATGCTAAAGTGGCTGGGGAGAATTTATAACTAGCGTAGTTCTGCAGCTCCGGATCTGCAGTAAGAAAGTAAGAAAGAGAAGGAATGGGAGAAACACCCAATAGACTTTGCAACCCTCTGACTCTCT